AAGATTAAAAAAAGGAAGGAAAGGAAGGAAGAAGAGGAACGATTACCGTTATTTCGATTCTCAAAGATTAAAAAAAGGAAGGAAAGGAAGGAAGAAGAGGAACGATTACCGTTATTTCGATTCTCAAAGATTAAAAAAAGGAAGGAAAGGAAGGAAGAAGAGGAACGATTACCGTTATTTCGATTCTCAAAGATTAAAAAAAGGAAGGAAAGGAAGGAAGAAGAGGAACGATTACCGTTATTTCGATTCTCAAAGATTAAAAAAAGGAAGGAAAGGAAGGAAGAAGAGGAACGATTACCGTTATTTCGATTCTCAAAGATTAAAAAAAGGAAGGAAAGGAAGGAAGAAGAGGAACGATTACCGTTATTTCGATTCTCAAAGATTAAAAAAAGGAAGGAAAGGAAGGAAGAAGAGGAACGATTACCGTTATTTCGATTCTCAAAGATTAAAAAAAGGAAGGAAAGGAAGGAAGAAGAGGAACGATTACCGTTATTTCGATTCTCAAAGATTAAAAAAAGGAAGGAAAGGAAGGAAGAAGAGGAACGATTAACGTTATTTCGATTCTCAAAGTTTAAAGAAAAGAAAGGAAAGGAAGGAAGAAGAGGAACGATTAACGTTATTTCGACTCTCAAAGTTTAAAGAAAATGAAATCGAGAAATCCTTTCGAAAACGAAACGAGAAAAATTGATTATTTACTCTCGAGTAATGTAGAGCATAGAGTGTCTGAAATAGTAGTGGAAAATGGAAACGATTCGATTCGAAACCGTGAAACGAGGGGAGGAGGGGATTCCATGGAAATAGAGTTGCCGGGAGGACGAAGGAGAAGGAAGAAGAAGAGAATTCGAGAGAGAGAGAGGGAGAGAGAGGTTCAGGTAGATGCTAATGGGCGCCCATTGTTTTTTCTCCTCTGTTTTCCTCTGGACCAGCATTGTTCTTGCAACGTGGCGGGGCCCGGCGCTGCTCATCAGTTAACATTGTCCGCGCATTAGATCGGCCTTGTTCGAAATTCGAGTTGCGGTCGCGCGACCTCCCCCGTTCTGGGAGAAGGGCAAGGAGAAGGGAGGAGGAGAGAAGAGGAAGAAGAAGAAGAAGAAGAATAGAGTCGAGGAGGGACACAAAAGTGTTGGGGAAACTTGGTGTAAACGAGAGTTTCGTGGTGGCGAGTGCATCGAGCTGCACCAACGCTTAATACCGCTACGAGACTACTTTCTCGTTTGTTAGCATCCTCCTCCTCTTGTCTCGCGCCCGGCCGACCCGTAGACCAAACAAGGGTTCCTTTTCACGGCGGACCTGTTAAACATCCCTTCGAATACCACCGGCCGATTCCTCCGCTTGGCGGCCGAATTGTCCCCCGAATTTTTGCTCAATGTCCAATTAACCTCTCCCATCCTGCCCTCGATCCGCTTTCTTAGGATCGATTGAAAATAACCATCTTTGGAATGCATCCTTCCCTTTCTTTTTTTTTTTCAAAGGAAAGAAGGGAATTTCCAGGTTACAAGAGGAGGAGGGGAGGATGGAAGAGTTTGAAGATGTCGAGGAGGAAACTCGCGAGTAATATGGTGAATGGACGAAAGAGGAGGAGGAGGAGGAGGAGGAGTACGTTTTCGAGCGATGATTTATCACCGAGGATGGATCGAGAAGACCGAGGCTAGAGAAAAGTTGGTGGATCCATGGGGCCTAGCCTATCGTGAGGGAACGCGAAATAGAAGGAGAGGAGAGACGTCGGGAGGGAATCGAGCGAGTTGGTCGAGGGGCCCAACCCTCATTACCACGCCCCCAAACTTCCTAGTCATTATCTGGTGGTTCCAATAGCGAGATCGAGTTTCATCACGGATTCCAGAACGGGCATTCCACCTTGATAATTAGTCTCCCCCACGAATGCCTCGCGCGCAATCTTCCCTTCCAATTCTCAATTCCCGTTTCTTTTCTTTTTTTTTTTTTTTTTTTTTTTTCGAGCGACACGATCACGTCATCGAAACGCGCGATCGAGAGTCAAGATCCTGAAGGAATTCTTCGAGTGAAAGAAATTGCGAGGTGTCGCGATAACGGGGGAGAGGGAGGAGGAAAGGGGAGAGCTGCAGCCATTTTTTTTTGTTTTTTGTTTCTTTTTTTTTTTTTTTTTTTT